CCTCTAAAAAGGTTCAGAACCACTGGTTTAGTGCTTTAAACTGGCTGTTAGCAGAGACTGTGAAGCCCTGCAATAACATGGACTTCAATTCATCACAACTAATGTCGGGGACCTCCGGGGCTGTGTGAGTGCAGCCCCACCCTTGACCATATGCACAGATGATTGCAGTTCATCCTCAAATAATCAGTTTGGAATCAAGTATCCAGATGATGTTTTGATAACCATGCTGAATATCTCAGACAGTCAGGCCCTGCATCAACAGGGCGTGGACATGGGTGTGAAAGGGAGTAAAAGTAACATATTAAAAAAAAAACTAACAACCAAAAAAACTAATAATTTAAATAAATAAATTTAAAAAAGATTCTCAGCACCAAACCCATATCCGCCTCCCACTGTCACAATCATTGCATAAAACAGGTGGAGTCAATCAAATATTTGGGAGTCACGGTTGACTCAACATTATCGTATTGAGTTAATCTGCATAACGACCAAACAAAGAATATGTCAGTCAGGTCGATCTGGGCCACACAGCAGGTACCGGTACTCCTTCTGTTGTCACCGCCAGTCTTCAGTGTGCTGCGGTACTCTAATGATGTCTCGTTCAGCTCCCGCAACAGTCACTGCAAAATCTGGACCGACACACCTGATTAAAATCTATTCAAAGATTGTGGGTTAACCTTTGCACAAACTGTTCAAAGCCACCTAGCATAACAACACCACGTGATTGGCTAAAAATATCATCTCCAACCCCAGCCATGCTCTCAACAATGAATCCTGTATGTCTTTTTTTTTCCATCTGGGTGCCGGTACTGTCTATAGCTTCATCTTTGGAAGTCAAGGCTGCCCATCAGCTGCGCGTTTAGCTCGGAGATATCGGCGCTGTTGGAACTGTCTGCGTTGGTGCGGGTGGATGGATGGCTGCTGGAGCTGAGGATGAGGAGAGAGGAACGTCAGCGTGGAGCGCGGATGCGTATTTGGAACTGAGAATCGGCGCTTGGAATTGAAGCGGATTTATATGGGACAGGAGTAGTGAACCAGTCTCTTTTCTCATCAATAGACGCTACAGTCTCTTATTTAGTTTCAAACTTAGCTTGAGGCAGACGTGTGGGACGTCATGCAAGTTTTGAGCATGACGTCTCCGTCATGCACGTTTTGAGCATGACGTCTCTGCTCTGCTGGTGAAAGGACACTCTGATTTTCTCCTCTTTCATCTATAACTGCTTCAAACAACAAGGCGTGTGCAAGAATAGTGCTTACGGTTGCATGACTGTGCATGTCTTACGTGTTGTGTTATATTACTGTATTTTGTGATTTTATGTTAGGTGTTCTGTAAAGCAGGGGTGCCCATCACGTTGATCGCGATTGACCGGTAGATCGCGTGCTGGTCCTAAGTCGATCGCGAGGGGTGTAGAGAAGGAAAAAAAACTAACAGCCATTTGTGTGTCTTTGTGCATGTTAGTAAAATATATTTTTTGTCTGAATGTACACTGCACCCTAATCATCCTTTCAGTCTCATTTTCACAAAAAGTATTAAAAAAAATAAAAATAAAATAAAGCAGGTAAATCTTTAACCTACGGTGGTACGTGACCTGCGTCACCGGAAGTTGTTAGCGCTCAGCAGTCTGCAATTGCAGCTTGTGATCAGAGCTATTGCGCTATATGTTTTGTCATTAGCATTATTCTCATTCAGTTTTTTTCGTGTCCAATTCACCGAGGGCACGGGTAACGAATACGAATCTAGAGGGCCGAGGGAAGCACTTTAAAATGGTACATGTGAGCTATGATAGTTAACGGGTTGCAAAAGTGCGTCGCATGCCTTCCTGTCAGGCTGTTGCTCATCATGGCGTGCGTGTGTATGTGCGTGCGCATGGGCGGTAACGGGTTGATCGCGGGAGGTTGGTTGATCGAAAAGTCGATCTTTGGTCCAAAAGGTTTGGGCACCCCTGCTGTAAAGGCTATATAAATAAAGATGTATTTTATCTATCTATGTTTTCACCTAATGTGATTTTTGCATCTTATTATCAATCTCCATTTCAAAATAGCCATCATATGGGAAATAATGCATTGCGGCTCTTTGCGATGCACTACATTGCAGTACAGGAGGCTTTCATCTGCTGGGAGAGTGTGAGCGGCAGTGAAAAGGAGCTTGGACTAAACCATTCATTTGCTGCCCATCTTATTAGCTTGGCATTGTGTTATTAGCTGCCATTGTGCACCACAAAAAGCTCCTTAGGCCTGTTCCGCTATTCGCTGAATCTGAGCTTTGTGCCAAGAGCTTTTTGAAGGTATGTGGGACCATGAAAATTCAATCCCAAACCGAAAGCATTGAGCTTTCTGACAGATAAATTAAGAGGATTACTTGGACAATAAGATAATGTCTCACTGACAGCACAGATCTTGCTAATTCTGTTTGTAGTGGACAACTATAAAAAAATATAAACAAAAACAACATGATCAACAATCTCGTCTTCACCAAACATGAGCTACACCGGCACAAACTGCATTTTCAAGTGATACCATATTCTGTCGATACAGAGGTTACTCGAAACGCACAAACTGTTTACGATTCAGCATCCTTGCATTTGTTTGTATTTTTTGTGAGTGTTGAGGACTGGATCAAGAAAGAGTTTGTCAGAGAACAGCACGGACTAGAAGATTTGGAGACAAAGCCAGAAAGGCCATCTTGAGATGATTTTCACATGTGCCACGTAGGGACAGTGCATATATGGGTCCTGGATATGTGCCCTCCGGGTAGGAGGCAAAGAGAAGACCAAAGAGGCGATTTAATGAGGAAAGTTATAAATGTTAAAAAGACATAAAAAAAAAAATCACAATGATTCTCAAATTTGAAAAGTGTTACTTTGATTTTATTTATTTAGTATGCTCTGAATTTCTTTATCAAGCACACACAATGGTTATAGTGCACTTCAGCTTCAGGCTGAACCTAAAGTGCACTATAACCAACCTTTACAGGTAAACTTAATGTGACCTTCTCTAAACTTTTCAAAGCATATATACAACTGCTCATTGTTTCAGTACACAGGCAACATTCACAACCGGTATTTGATACGTGAAAATGTATTTACAAATGAGGTTCATGTCTCTGCCTTTCAATTACTCTTCCAGTCCTTCCGTATTTCTATTGCAATCTACCAATAACACTATGACACTCACTGTGAGCTAAGTGGCCAATTCCTTTTGAGAACTGTTTGAAGATACGCAATGGCGAGGCACTGGTGATCAATTGGTTAGTGTCGTTTTGGTCTCAAGACGTTAAAATTAGAAAAGCATGATTAGGAGAACTGTTGAAATACTAATTCGTATTGTAGCATGAAAAGTACTGGTCAATTCATGGCTCCAACACCTGTTGCAAATTTTGTTTTTTAGTTCCTAAAGAGCAGTAATGTGTGCAAAAAGCCAAAAAACAAAAAAACAAAACAAAAGAAAAACCCCAAAACAAAAAAAAAACAAACAAATAAACAAACAAACACTGAACAGTTGGCCATGCGCAAGCAAAGGTTTAGAGACAGTTTAACTGCGTTCACCTGCAAAAGTTCTACATTTATTGTCGAGTGTCAGTTTGCTTTTATAGGAGTGACCAATGCAGATTTTTCCATACAGCTTTTGAAATAAATCTTATTGCATAGTGCTGGTATGTACCTAACAACGTAGAGCAAATATGGTGCTGTTATCGTTCATATGTAAACAAACATGCACTGAAAGAATTATGTCCAATGAGAAAGAGGGAGAGGAAGACAGTATGTAGATTCTTCAAGTCCAGCAAAAGAAAGACAAAAAAGAGCAATGGAAAGAACTGACAGCTGCCGACACTGCAATAACCCATCTGGGTTTGGACATCCGAGGCAACGTGTGAATTGATTCCCATCTGATGATGGACTGCATGCTGAAATAAATTGACCTTGCCAGACGATGAATGAAATTGATGGAGCTTTTCATCTACAGAGGGGCCATTCCACACTGTAAAATGGATAGGGCACAGGATAGTGATTGAGGCAGCTCAAATGGGAGGTGTGTCTTTTTTGTCCACCAGCTCACTTGGTAAATAATGGTTAAGAGCGGAAAATCAGTAAGCAGTAACAAGTATGGGGGTTAAGTGCCGGTTGCTGACAAGATGATTAGGACCACAAGCACATAGCAGTAAAGTGAAGCTGTTTGCGGACAGATGCTACCCATCCAAGCGATACATGGCTCGATTTCTGGGAGCCTAAATTGAAAGCAATAGTAATTTAAGTGTCCCCAATACACCGGCCCAATCCTGGCATTGTGGTTGCAACAAGCCTAAAAAAAAAAAAAAAAACTCAGATGAAGTGTGTGGAAGACAGAGGTGCCATAGATTTTCAATAACATCCCCTAATGACCTGGCCCCAGTTTGATCCCACGCTGTCATTATGTGCTGATACCATGGGATAGGATCGCTGGGTCTCATGGCACACAGCAGTGAGATGAGTAGTTAGGGCATTATCGGGATGAATTGGCCATCTCTGGACAGAAGGAAAGTGTAGCCAAGGTCTTGTCAATAAAAAGACAGGGCGCCTCAGGGCTCCCTTCGCAGCCACTCCACTGCATCTTGGGGCCTCATTAGAAAGGCAGATGAGTGGTTGTGCATTAGGAGAGAACCTCTCCTCCACCAAGAGCCTGCCTCGAAGGCATTGTTCCTTTTAATGAGCCCAGACTGTTGGTCAATATGCTGCCGGGCTGCCAGTCAATACTGGTTACCTGAAACACAAACACTCTAAACTCCTTTCATACAAAAATCAATGACCTATTTTTCCCCACCAGATTGTCACGGCACAATCTCATTGATCCCGCTGAAGAGCCCCGCATCAAACGTATGACAAATTTATGGTCAAATGATCAGATTTGTGTAAAAGCGCATTGTCGCAGCTCACAATAAGCAATAAAAGGACAGGCAGAAAACATGTGACATTAGGGCCAAACTTTATTCCATACATTTTAAACCATGAATGTTCTTTTTTTAATTTTTTTTTTTTTACTTATCACGCCTAAAATTCTACTTCATTTGTATACAAGAATCTAAGAAAAACAACTGCACAGAACCACAAGTTTGACAGGGAATGTCCTTTTGCTGCCCACTTTAAAGTGTCCTTCTTTTCTGTCTGGGTCTGGTCCAGTTTATGACATGGAAGTCTTTTAGTATTACCATGATTATTTCATCGGGAAATATCAACATGAGTTTACCCAAGCCTCTCAGTGTCACCAGTCTGCTTCCCCTAGGAAATCTAGCTAGGGTGCCATGCTGCTTTGCATAGATAGCAGATGATCCTTCTAGGCTCCCTTCCAGCACCTACCATCACTTTGCATGCATTGGCAAGGCTTGTCTGTTGCCTTGATATTCAATCAGGATGAGTTCCACAAATTGGACTTAATTGTGTGTGTGTGTGTATATGTGTTTTTTTGTTGTTGTTTTTTTTTTTTTAACAAATGGTTAAAAAAAGCCTAGTAAATGTACACCCAAAGGGATATCGACAGGTTATTTACATCAGCTTTCTATACAGAGACTGAACAAAGACCTCATTATATATATTTTCTGCATATGTCAGAGGCAAAACAAATCGGTAATATAACACTGTACATTGCCACTTTGAGGATATCCTGGTACCGTGAGGTGAAATTACCCAAAGGTAATCCAAATCCAGTCTTTACAGTCAGAATGGGTATGCCACACAATCAGTTGGGATAAATATTGTAAAAAGTGTGACAACTGCACACATTACATCAAATTCGTAGAAATGATATCTATACATGGAACAAGGATAGCAAATATACAAACCATTTCAGAGCCTCTTTTTTCACTTAAAGATGAAAAAAGTCATTTGATTAATATATTAATAATTATCAAATATTTAAGGTGGATATAAACAGACACATATTTGTGTTCTCTTGACATTGTCTAAACCTTCAGTCCACCCAAAAATATTCATGACATGTGCTCAATCAGATACTGTACAATCATACCTTTTCCCTTGGAGAAGTCTGCTCTTCTCTAGGGAAGAGGAGTGCATTTTGTTCAAGGGACAATATTCAATTGGGGGAGTAGAGCTTGGGAGTGCACTTTTTGAAGAAGCTACCGCGCCTCTACCTCTTTGGGGTTGCGAGATGGGGAATAGTCCCGAGGGTCCTGGGTGGTTGTGAGGGGTGTAGTCCTCCTCGGGGAGGCCGGCCTGCCACTGCCGGCTGGCACAAGTGGCGGAGGCGCACTGAGAGCAGCAGTAGGGGGCGTTCTGTTCAGAAGGCCGTTGTGCCCGGTGGAAGGGCTGAGTCTGGGGTAGGGCATTCCACCAAGGTGGGGCATAAATGGAGGCATGTGCGGTAGGTGGCCTTCCATGGGGGATTGGTGCAGCTGATGGAGCCGTGCTCGGTCCAGCTCTTCCCGTAGGTGGAGGCGCTCTCGCTCCTCCGCCTGCTGCCTCATCCTCTCGTGCTCCCTGCGCACTTCCATAAGGTGCTCGTGGTGAGAGTAGTCATGCGCCTCCCGCTCACGGTAGGCTCGCTCTTGTTCGTACACACTGTTGAAGCGATGTCCTTGATCGGCCCTGAGCTGGAAGTCCATGCGCCTCTGCAGATCCAGGCTGCGGTAGGCCTCTCTCAGAGGGTCCCAAGGGAATGCCGGGTGGGGGAGACGCTCTCTTCCTGCCAGCGGGCTGACTCCCATGAAGGGAGCCATGCGAGCCCGGTCCAGAACATTGAGGCTGCCCATTTGGGGCATGGCACTCATGGAAAGGGGGAGTGAGTGTGCCATGGGGACACCATGCAAACCCGCTGCTGGAATGTCACTGCCCCGCGGGGAGGGAAGATGAGGATGCTGAGACAAAGGAGGGTGGTGGTGGTGTGGATTTCCAGGCTGGGTCATGGGGGCCGACTGCACTTGTCCAGGCGGCTGGTTAGCTGGCTCGGAACTCACCACCATAACTTCCTGCTCCTCCTTCCTCTCCTCCTTGATCTTCATGTCATCATTTTTTACCTTTGGGAATTGTTCCCCGGTTGAAAGCTCTTTCCTCTCAGTGTCTTTGAGTGCAGGCGGGGGCCCACCTGCCATCTTCATGCTCTGCTCATTGATTACTGCTTTGGAGTATGGAGAGGGAGAACGCTGAGGTGGTTTAATAGAATCCTCTGAAGATCTCCTCTCCAGCATCTCCTTGCCAGGCGAGCGACTCTCCTTTATCTTAACGTCGACTAGGGTGGAGGACTCCCTGTGACGCTCCAGTAGGTCTTTCTCTGCCTCCCGCACCCGATCCATGCTGCCGCTGTGATGCCGTACCGGATCACTGCTCTGGCTGGTGGAACGGATCAAGTTGCTGATCTGATAGCTGACTGGTGCAGAGGCTGGAGATGACCGGTTGGAGTGGCGGTTACGTTCCACCGAATCTCTGTGATGATAAGAACATCAGGTTAGTTTGCGTTGAGGTTGTCATTGCTTCCTGCCTCCAACGCAACAGAGTCTGTCGGTAATATGAATAAATTACGTCACTGCTTCTGGAGTTTGGTACGACTGGTGTTGCAAACTGTTAGTGGTGCTGTGAATCTTTCCCCACACAGCCGATGTACCCGTAAAAGGGCTACACACCAGTATTCTTACGCCAGGTTTTTATGATAGAAAAAAGTGCTACCAGATTAAATCATTTAAAAACTTACAACCATTAATGTGACCTAGGACCTGTTAAACTCAACTAAAAAAAAAAACATCTTTGAAATGGCAAATCAGCACCCCAGAAAATGTGGTTACTGTACCCAAGCGTTGCACACCCTCTGACTGGGGATGTGGCTGTGTTAAGAATGAACTACCATAATCACATTGAAATGCATATTAAATGGGAGTCAGCACACACCTGACACCATTTAAAGTGCCTCTGATGAACCACAACATAGGTGAACTGTTCTAGAAGGTGGTTCCTGATGATTTTATAATCACACCTTTCAGTGCAAGCCATGGTCCGCATTTGCAACCACATTGTCTCAGTTGATTAATTCTTTGTTACCCTCTCTTTGCCCATTTTTTTTCTCAATTGAGTTATACAGGTTGTAGGTTAAGTTAATGCTGGGAATGTTTTTAAATGATCTGTCTTGGTCTCTCTCTTTTTTTTTAATAATCATAGTCTGGGATTTGAAGAGGGATGTGTAACTGTATATAGAAAAAAAAAACACCTCCTACACAATGCACATGTTCTACATCTATCCTCCCATATCCAGTCCCTCTGTGCATCTTTTTTTTTTTACACATTCTTATAAACTGGTTTGTATTTGCACCTTGCTTGTTGCTTATTGATTATACTGTAAATAATGCATTCGTGCAAATGCCTGTCTGTTATTTTTTAAAGAATAAATAAAAGCTCACCGGTCTCTGTCTTTCTCCTCTTTTCCACTCGATGAATCTCTTTTATCTCTTTCTTTTTCCCTCTCCCGTTCGCGCTCCCTCTCTCGTTCTCGCTCATGGCTGTTGGCGGAGCTGCTCCTCTCAGCGTCTGCAGTTTTAGGCCACTGTGGCGGCGTGGGGAAAGATGGCGGTGTGCGTCGCAGCCTGTTCCAGGTGTCATGTTGTGGGCTGCTAAACGGGGGCATTCCTCCGGGTCCCTCTTTGGGGCCAAACATACTGTTGGACCCTGGAAAGAAGATGGAGACAGGCATTGGACCTATTGGGAATTCATTTTGCATACTTCGAGGGAGCAACAAAATAGGAAGAACTCAGCATGAAAAGTTTCCTTTCTCTTTTTCTCTGGAGGCTCACTCACTGAGGCTGTTTGAAAGAATTTCAGGTTAATGGCAATCCCCCAAAATGAAAATAAAAATCATTTTCCCTTGGATTAAAGCTCTTGCTTTCTCTGTCCCGACGATTCATTTGCCCCGCTGGAGCTGAAGGCTGTGGAAATTCAGGGGGAGACTTTAGCATGCCAAAGGATGTTTATTCCAATCACATCCATTTTCTCCACAGGGTGACTGATTTGGCAGTAAGAAAAAGGCAATGGTGAAGGGAAAGAGAGACAACCCTCCATGATGGTGCAGAAGGGGCTTGTCAAATAATTAATCTTTTAATTGCCACCAACAGGGGGCCTGAGAGGGTCCGTTGGCAGTGGCATCGCAAGATTAAACCCCGGCTGTTGGGGACACAGTTGGAAGATGAAATGGCAGCAAGGAGGAGGTCTGCTGTGGTGTGTCGCACAGCCTAGTTGAGCCTCTCCCGGCCAGGGCTGCTTTGACATGGAAACTTGAGCTAAGTGTCGTGAATTTTCTCCTCCCCTACTGACTCTCCCTGTGGTCTAATGCTTTTCCTACTCTTTATTCTTACTGGCCACAGGGGCCAGATTTAAGGGGGGAGCGTTGGAGGAGCAATGGGGGCCAGCGCTTACCAAGCGAGGGGTTGCCTAATCCTCCGAAGGCACTGCTTGAAAGGTTGCCGAGGCCGCCAAAGGAACTGGAGCGACTGAAAGGATCTGCAAAATGCCAAACAGGGATTAGCAAAAAGGGGCTAGGGTGGGGGGTACTGGCGAACGGTGATCACCACCACACCGACCCGTTCCACTCTGCTTTTCTCTTACAAGCGAGCTGTTTTGTTGAGCGCTGCCACCCTAGCTCTATGCTTCCGGATGCTGCAGTGGCCAGCACTCCTAACTGGAGTGGGTTGTCCCGCTTGGATTAGGACAACACCACCACTTTGTGCAAAAGAGTTGTTGGGAATGAGCAGAAATTGCCTGTAGAAAGGCTGAGGGAACAGGTGTTTAAGGGGGTGTTCACTTTCCTGGACCAAGGAAGGTATCTTTTTTTATACAGGCTCACTTTGTGTTCATACATCTATACCATCAGCTCAAAAGCTTCCTCCCAAAAAAAGCATTTTGGAGTTGGGGTATTTTTAACGTTTCAATGGGGATAGTTGATACCATCTCTCAACAGACAGCATACACATGGGGAACAGAGGGCTCTTTTATCACGTGGTCTTCTTTTTAAAAATGGCATGTAATCAGAAGAACCAAATACGTCCTTTCAAGGGGCTATTCCAGAGACTCAGCTCTCAATTTGTAACACAGAGAGTTCATTACTGAGCATGTGATTATTGCAATGAATATACTGAGGAAATAATTCAAATGCAAAAACAAATCCAACAAGGATTCATCGTCGTCGTCATCATTGTCATCATCACTGTTATCATCATCATCATCCCTTGTTCATTTAATACATCTGAACTCAACTTTGTAAGGCAAATCAAAACATTATAAAATACTGCCATGTTGTTAAAGACTATCGCACAGGGTGATAAAGACGTGAGAGGGTTAGGGAATTATAGAAAATGTTGTCTTTCGTTAGGGCTCATTCAAGGTTGCAAATTTCTTTGCAAACCTGAATGAATGACAAAAAAATAACAATCGGGGCATTTACAAACAATCGCAAAGCTTCGCTGTTTAGTGAGAGACAGGCTTAAATTACACAACAGTCAGGGTTCCAACATCTTAAGGCAAGTTAAATCCAGACTTTTTATTTCCATTTCAAATGAAATTTAAGACCTACGTCACAATCTTCCCGTTGTCCAAACTTGCTACACTACATACAGGAAATAAGGTTCTATCCGTTGCAGATATGGCAGGGAAAATCTGACTTATTTTTATTTTTTAGTGACCCGATCATGTTTTTTTTTTTTTTTTTAACTGAGAGGAGGAAAGTCAAGAGTCCAGAGAAACAGATCAGAGAAATTAACGCAAAAGGCAGTTAAAATGTAATAATTCACAGTGATGCCAACATGTGGAAATTTGGTCTGAAACATTGGTGATAGCGAGGGTCTTTGAAGCGTTTATATTAAATATATATATATATAAAACATTCGTGAAGATGATAACAAAACAACTTAATTTATAGGTACTGATTCGTATTTGAGCTTTTGAGATTGCTCATCTGAAGTGACAATTCGTCAGAAAGTAGCAAAACTTGCGACCGTATGTTGTTGCTGACCATTCTTTTCTTTTTCCTGAAGCGGGATTTAAATGTTTTATTCTTTTAAGTTGAAACAACATATATACAGTATATGTATGATGCAAAAAAAAAAAAAAAACCCAAAAAAAGTTGTCGTTTGTCAGTATAAGAAGGCAGGAAGTTGACGGTAAAATTGTTTTCGTGCATCCCTATTTCACAATATGGTATGCTCACGGTTACGATGATCTAACTGGACCACGGGAATCAGGATAAGTGTGCTACGACAAGGATTTGCATTCATACATGGCAATGGCGAGTGATGAAAAAAGCGGAAGGGGCGTGGCCTGGACGGGGCGTGGCCTGGACGGGGGCGTGGTTACTTACAAAAGTGGCACTAAACATGCTGAAGATGAAGTGTATTAAATTTACACAGTTTGAAAATTGAACAGAAAAAAAACCCATGATCGCCACTATTCTTTCAAGTGAAAATTTGTGCAATTTTGCCTATGCATTCCTGGTGAGCACCAATATGTAACTCCAAATTTGCTGCTCAAAATCAAAACTAAAAAAGTAAACACA